AAAAAAAAAAAAAAGTGTGTGTGTGTGTGTGTGTGTGTACTAGGAATTAAACTCAGAGCCCTATATATGGGGGCAAATGTTCTGCCACTCCAGAAATCAGATTGGCTAACAAAAAGTTGGTCAAATAGGTGTCCAGGTACTTTTTATGCACATTTCTTTGCTCTTTGGCTGCTGCATTTACCTCTTGAGGGAAGCAGATGGAATATTATGATTATAATAAGACAAAATATTCAACAAATGGTGGTTGTTATGTGCCAGGCATTTTCCAGACACTTTTTTCATTATTTTATTTTCTCTTTATGGCAACCCTGAGAAGAATGTAATGACAAGAATACAGAAGTTGAGAGGTGAAATTAGAGGCTTGGAATGTAATCTAGTTATGGAGCCTATGACTAGTTCTGGGAAGTCCTATCTCCCCCAATAAAAGAAAAAAAGTGAATTTAATAAAAAGTCACACAACATATAAGTTAAAGAGTTGGGATTTGAACTGAAGTTCACTGTATTTCTTTCTTTCTTTTCCCCCAGTCCTGAGGTTTGAACTCAGGGCCTGGGTGCTATCCCTAAGCCTCTTTGTGCTCAAAACCAGTGCTCTACCACTTGAATCACAGCATCACTTTGACTTTTTCTGAGTAGTTCATTGGAGATAAGAATCTCATGGATTTTTCTGCCTTGTCTAGCTTCTAATGTCAATCCTCAGATCTCAGCCTCCTGAGTAAGTAGGATTACAGGCATGAGCCACTGAGCTGGCTTGAAATTCATCTTATTCTAATGTCTTTTTTTTTTTTTTTCGGATGTTCCTTTTTTAGTTTTGGTGCTGGTACTGGGGGCTTACACAGAGCTTAAGCTGGCTCTAGTAGCTTTTCCCCCTACTTTTCAAAGCTGGTCCTCTAACACTGAGCCATATCTTTACTTCCAGTGTTTTTACTGGTCAGTTGAAGAGTCTCAGAGTTTTCTGCTCTGGCTGGCTTCAAACTGAGGTCCTGAGTAGTTAGCATTACAGGAATAAGCCACTGACACCTAGCTGTTTTTGTTTTGAGACAGGATTTCATTATGTAGTCCATGATGGCTGGCCTCAAATTCATAAAAATCATGTTTCAGACATTTGAGTGCTGAGATTGCAGGAATGTACCATAAAGCCAGTTTATAGTTTGTTGTTTTCTTTGGTTCTGGGGACTGAACCCCAGAACCTTATGGATATGAGGCAAATGCTCTACCACTGAGCTACAACCCAGTTCAGAAAACCTTTTTTTTTTTTTTTTTTTTAAACAGGTCTTAGGGCTTCCATTAGGCCTGGGCACTGTAGCTGAGCTTTTTTTGCCCAAAGCTAGTGCTCTATCATTTGAGCCACAGTTTCACTTTGGTTTTTTGGTGGTTAATTGGAGATAAGTCTCAGGGATTTTCCTGCCAGATCTGGCTTTGAACTACTATCCTCAGTTTTCAGTTTCCTAGGCATGAGCCACTAGTAAGGGCTTTCCCAAAACTGTTTTTGAAACGGACGTGTGCAAACTCTTAAACCTTGGTCCGTATGGTCCTAAGTTTTCCCATCCTCACTGGAATCTAAGGATTGTCAGTGCTTTATCCTTTCTGCATTCCTTTCATTTCCTTTTCTAGTTTTCTGAATTGTTGTTTACTTGCTTGTTTTTCTGTTCTCTTTTCATATCTTTTGTATCCTTTGGCCAAGAGGATGGAAAATTTTGTCCTACCTTCTGATTGCATCTGAGGTTGGGAAGTGAAAACATTTAGAGCAGCCGCCCTTGTGTGAGAACTGAGCAGGTCTAGTTGTGGAGAATGTCACGCCTTTTACCTCCCTACCTTCAGCACCAAACAGGCAAGTCATTTAATGATTGAGGTGGGGTGAAGGGGAGAGGGAGGAGTCTATTCTGTAACAGAACTGTGCTTGCTAGGCAGAAGAGATACAGCAATAACCTAAACATAATTTGTCCTTTGTCTTTAAAGTCAGACAATAAAATACACCAGAGGCTAATTTACAATAGTGATATAAAAGAATTGGGTGTCTTAAAGAAAGAAAAATTGCACAGATCTGCTTGGATGGAGCTGCCATTCCTCTTTTAAGAGAGCAGGTAGTTGAAGTTCAGATACTAACAGCTAGTTTAGGGCAGTCTTCTAGTGACCCTCGATAGTCTAGGCACCTTTGTCTCCAAGCTCCCTCCTCCCTAGGGCTTTCCCTGAAGAGCCCGAATTCCGCGCAGGCGCACTGACTGTTGCCATGGTGACAGAGGCTCCGGCGCAGGCGCAGAGGAAACCAAGATGGCGGCAGCGGCTGCGGCTGCCCGAGCGCTTCCTGTGGGCTCTGGGCTCCAGGGTCTGCAACGCACGCTGCCGCTTGTAGTGATTCTCGGGGCCACCGGCACTGGCAAGTCCACTCTGGCCCTGCAGCTAGGCCAGCGGCTCGGTGGCGAGATCGTCAGCGCTGATTCCATGCAGGTATGGCCCTGTGGCTGGCCCCGGGCTTGGGAACCTGGGAAGGCGCGTGCAGGCCTTGGGAGAGTGGACACCGGCTCGCGTGGTCGTGGGGAGTGACCTCCGAGCTTCTGCCAGCCGAGGAGGTTGGTGAAGAGAGCCCACTAGGCCCACATGTGCCGAACCTTTCTCCTTTGATCATCTGATTCACTTCCCACGATGTTACTCTAACTCTCGATACTATTGTGATCTCCACTTAGGGGGTTGACTTTGGGGCCTGGACAAATGAAACGGCTCTCCCCTTGTCACATAGCGCGGAGGAAATACATAGTGGAGGAAATGGTGTTTCACCTTAGGAAGTTGACTCTACTAGTAAATATCTTTTCAAGTGGCAGTTATTCCAGAGCTTTTTGTTGTAATTCTCACCTTAATACGCTGAGATCAGAATAAGTAAAATGCACCTTTCAGTGTGTACTGGGGCCGTGGAACTGGGCGGTCAGTCAGAAGACTTATATTCTAGTCAGATTCTGCCATTGGCCACGTGGCTTGGGATTCACAGTGTCCTTTATTTGGGTGTTATTTGTGAAGTGGCTGGAGTGATTAATAAAGAGATCGTGAGTGCTACAGTGAAGAGCAGGACGACCTTCCCGAAAAAGGCCAGAGGTATGATAAATACAGAATAAAGATTTTTAATCCTGTGGCTGAGCTAAGGGAGAAGGTTGTTTCCTTCTCTAAGCTGGGAAGCAAGGAATATAGTTTTTCATGTGGGAGCATTTGTGCTTGATTGAGAATGGGTGAATGAATCTAGCAGAGGAATTATAACAACTATTTGCTGGAGAGAATTTGCAGTATGAATGTACGTCGTGTAAATAAGATGTTGGACATGAAATGTCTATCTGTAAACCGAGCATCAGAAAGGTCCATGCTTCTCATTCCACCCCTGAGTCTCCTGGCCTGGTTTCTACCCCAATTGGTTCACTTGGGGTGACAAGAACATCAGCACACATGAAATGATAAGGTAATTCCGCAAACATTTGTTTATAATGTATTTGCTGCTAACTTTAGGAGACAGAATTTAGCTCAAATCCCAGCCTTTTACAACTTCAGCCTAACATCTCTGTGACTTTATTTTATTCTTCTGAAAAATAGGAGGGACAAGAGCAATAACACAACATTATTGTGGTTAAATGAGATAACACTATGTGAAACAGTAAGTACAATTTATAGCACACAGAACTAAAAATATGGTGATTATTTTCTGCAAGAACCTATTGCAGAGATAAAACCATAATCCCTGTATTTAAGGAGTTTAGTCTGGTTAGACGGGAAACATGGCAGAGTAAGTATTTATGGTGCTTTGCAAGGTGGACAGGATTGGGAGAGGAGAAAAACTGTAAATAGGTTTTATGGTAAGCTGTTAAATATACAGTTTCTTTTCTTTCTTGCTTTCTTTCCTTCCTTGCTTTCTTTCCTTCCCTTCCTTCCTTCCTTCCTTTCCTTCCTGCCTGCCTGCCTGCCTTCCTTTCCTTCCTTCCTTCCTTCCTCTCTTTCTTCCTTTCCTCCCCCCCTTTCTTTCTTCCTTTCTTTCTTTCTTGGTCCTGGGGCTTGAATTCAGGTTGGGGCACTGTTCCTGAGCGTTCTCAAGGGTAGTGCTTTACCATTTTGAGCCACAGCTCAACTTCTGGCTTTTGGTGGTTAATTGGAGATAAGATTCTCACAGATTTTCCTTCCTGGGCTGGCTTTGAACTACAATCCTCAGACCTTAGCCTCCTGAGTAGCTAGGATTACAGGTGTGAGCCACTAGCACTCGGCTTAAATATACTTTCTGAGAAGGAAGAAATCAGTGAAGGTTGGCATGGTTATGGAAAACTCTCTAAAATAGGGCTTGAAAAATAGATCAAGGGCTGGGAAGGTGGCTTAGTGGTAGAGTACTTGCCTCGCATGCATGAAGCCCTGAGTTCAGTTCCTTAGTACCACATAAACAGAAAAAGCCAGAAGTGGTGCTATGGTTCAAGTGGTAGAGTGCTAGCCTTGAGCAAAAAAGAAGCTCAGGGACAGTGCCCAGGCTCTGAGTTCAAGCCAGGACTGGCAAAAAAAAAAAGGAAAATAGACCAAGTTTGGATAATAAGAAAGAAGACAAAGCATACCAAAGGAAGGAACATGAATGAAGATTTTAGAAAGTAAATAGTCATAGTGAATATGTGAGATGGTAAAGGAGACTTTCATAGGGAGGTATGGACCAGGAGATGAGTAGTATGAGAAAGGTAACATGGCAAAACATCAGTCTATAAGCAGTGTGTGATGAATTGGACTGGTAGGATGGGGCATATAAAATTTTTGTGTGGTGGGCTGGGAAGGTGGCTCAGCGGTAGGGTGCTTGCCTGCATGCATGAGGGCCTGGGTTCGATTCCTCAGCACCACATAAGCAGAAAAAGCCAGAAGTGGCGCTGTGGCTCCAGTGGTAGAGGGCTAGCCTTAAGCTGAAGAGCTGAGGGACAGCACCCAGACTCAGAGTTCAGGCCCCATAACCAGCAAAAAAAGAAAAAAGAAATAAAAAACTTTTGTGTGGTATAATTATAAATCTGACACATCAGAATCTCATATCAGTGGATGGTGCCTGTAATCCTAACTACTCTGGAGGCTGTGATCTGAGGATTACAGTTAGAAGCCAGGCAGGGTGGGAAAGTCTGTGGGACACTTGATTTCAAATTAGCTAGCAAAAAACAGAAGTGGTGCAATGTCTCAAGTGGTATTGCACTAGCCTTGAGCAAAAGAAGCTCAGGGACAGAATTTAGGCCCTGAGGGCTGGGAAGGTGGCTCAGCGGTAGAGCACTTGCCTTGCATGCTTGAGGCCCTAGGTTCAATTCCTCAGCACCACATAAGCAAAAAGAAAAAAGCCAGAAGTGGCGCTGTGGCTCAAGTGGTAGAGTACTAGTCTTGAGTTGAAGAGCTGAGGGACAGTGCCCAGGCCCAGAGTTCAGGCCCCACGACCGGCCCCCCCCCCAAAAAAAAAAAAAAGAATTTAGGCCCTGAATTTAGACCTTCAAAAAAAAATAAAAACAAAAAATGTATGTTTGCTTTTTATTTTGCACACGCGGGGGTGGGGGCAGGGCTGTTGGTGGGGAGAGATGGTACTTAGGTTTTAATTTGGTGTCTCACACTTGTTAGGCAGGTATTCTAACACTTGAATCATGTCCTCAGCCCCTACATAGGTTTGTTTTTGTTTTTTAATCTTTATAATAACTTTAAAAGTGGGCTGGGAAGGTGGCTCAGTGGTAGAGCGCTTGCCTTGCATGCCTGAGGCCCTGGGTTCGATTCCTCAGCACCACATAAGCAAAAAAAAAAAGCCAGAAGTGGCACTGTGGCTCAAGTGGTAGAGTGCTAGCCTTGAGCTGAAGAGCTGAGGGACAGCGCCCAGGTCCAGAGTTCAGGCCCCATGACTGGACCAAAAAAAAAAAAAAGAATCTTTGTATCTGTGCTCATTAAAGATTTTGTTAGTTTTCATTGATAAAGGTAATTTTGTATTCTCCCTCCCATGTAGCTCTACTTTAGCTCTACTTTCCCTTACCTTTCCTCTGTAGTCCTTATATCTGAGCCACAATACCAATAATTCACTCTTAAATAATATTTTCCTCTTTTCTTTTCTTTTTTCTGGTCCTAGAGTTTGAACTCAGAGCCTGAGCGCTGTCCTTGAGCCTGTGTGTGCTCAAGGCTAGCACTTTACCACTTGAGCCACAGCACCACTTCCGGCTTTTTCTGTTTTATGGTACTAAGGAATCAAACCCAGGGCTTCATGCATACTAGGCAAGCACTCTACCACTAAGCTACCTTCCCAGCCTGCTTTTCCCTTTGTTGTTGTTTCCCCCCATTTATACTTTCCTCTTTATGCAATTAGAACAGCTCTCTTACATAGTTTTCTACTTTTCTCCTCCCATCCATTCTTATTACCTGCTATTCTTACCTCGTAACTACATTGTCAAAACATCATTTGTTTTTCTTTGTTGTTGTTTTTCTCCTTTGTTTGCATGTGTGTTTATCTGTTCAAAACAGCCAAACCAAATTAAACAAAATATAAATTTTCATGCATATGTGTACCCACATACTTCTCTGGGGTGCGATAGGCTTTGGGTGTCAGCTAATTTGAAGGGTCTGGGTAAGGGGCTCTGACCCACTTGGCAGTAAATATATGAAAGAAGGGGACAGGTCCAGGAGGTTGAATACTTAGTAAATCTCTGCCTGAAAACTTCATTGCCACCCTGGCTTCAGAGGATAGGCTTCGTTCCTGGCCCGGGAGGGTAGAGCTCCCAACAAGTCTTGTGCCTTTGGTATCCCAGCTGCCTCTAAGGGTACTTCTGCCAGGCATTTTAAGCAGCAGCTGCTCTCCACCATGGACAACTACAGCGGCTGCCACACATGTTTCTGTGTGCCTCCCAAGGGAGGCTCTAGCCTCAGCCACCCATCTCTGCCAGGTGTCTCAAATAGCTGCCTCTGGCATCTAAGCTGCTAAGCTGCCTTTGCAGTTCTCAACTTCAACTTCTCTGTGGGGCCATCTCATTCTCTCTCTCTCTCTCTTTCTCTCTCCCTCTCTCTCTCTCTCTCACACACACACTCTTTCCCTTTCTCCCCTCACACACAAATTCAATGGCAAGGTGTTGTGAAACTCCTTGAACCATGTTGTCCCTTGTTCTCAGGCTCCCAGAAGAACTCAGTCTTAAACAATGGGCACTGTCTCAAGATGGCATCTGACTATTGCTCTCTAAGGTAAAGGGAGTGACAGACTGCCTTTATTCACCAAGGATTGGCCTGCAACACTGGGGTAATCGCTGTCTCACAAATCCCTAAAACTGGGATTAAGACTTGTGGGATGTGTAGGTTTTTCCCACAGCTAGAATTGGCAGTCTGTCACCAAGACTATATTACCTTGTGATTGAATCTTCACCTTCCCCAAACTCTTCCAGAGAGCCAAGGATAGGCTTGGAACTTCTTATTGTTTTTCATCAGTTGGATTGGTTTCTCTGTAGTTT